GCTTGGAATCTCATTGGAGGAGACAATGAGGGCGCGCATGCTAGAGTTCAGCCCACCTCTCGAGATGTAAGATAAGCCTCTGTCTTGAGAGGATGCTCTCTCGCAGAGATATTCTATGCATTTGTAAATGTTTTCTTCTTAAAATACATAGAAGCATCATATTGTCGTCGTGATATGAGCTTCAGTGCCCACCTCCCCAGAGCACAGATGAGGAAAGGGAGGCAGAAAGGGAGCCACTCACCACAGAACCTTCTGGATGTCGGCCGGGACTCCTGCCAGTGTCGATCCAGTATTATTACAGAGACCTCATTGTTAAGAACATGTTCTTTGAGTTTCCTGCTTATCGCGGAGCTTAAGAAAATACGGGCTGGTTTTTTCCCCCTTTCTGTTTGCTTTTCCAACCTTCAGCTTCTATGACCTTAGAAAAAAGTACATGAAAGCCGAACTGATCTAAAAAGCAACCTGTTTGCAACCTGATAGGAGTCCTGGAATGTCACCAGCTAGACAGAGGTGTAGTGTTCTCTGAACACATTTCAACAGTTTTTTCCAAGTGGCCACTGGTTCATTTCCACTGAGGCACCTGAGGATGCTGGATGCATGGTACATTTCCTAAGCTGGCAAAATGCTGGTGGTAGTTACATACCTCAGTGGTAGAAATGGAGGCGTATAGAGTCTTCCTTGGTTAACCTTAACTCAATACTTAAAGTCCTTTGCATTTAGATACATGCACAATAAGAGTTGAGACTGGACTATGTGCCATGTTCAGAGGTTATAGTTCTTATTAAAGTAGATGTTTGATGGACCAGATAGCATCTGGCAGCACTTTCCGCTGTAACATTTATGAACCTGTCTAAAGGTAATAGTTGAAGGCACGAGAACAAACTCTGGACAGCATGTCAGCATTGTTTTGAGAGGCTCTGCTATCCATGCACTTAGAGAAGATTTACTATCTAATGTTTGGCCAGACACCTTATGTCTTTTGTTTGGGTAGACACAGCCAGCGTCTGTCTGTAGAAAAATGATGTAGAAGAACACAGGTGCAATGCTGGCCCCTTCCAAGCTTAAAGGGAAGAATTATGTGATTTAGATTGTGGAATAGTGACTAATCTCAGAGGCTTTGGAAATGGCTGCTCTCACCCTCTCTACCCTCCCTTTCCGTTTCTATTGAAGAGCGAGAGAATGCTAGGTAAATATGACTAGGTTCTTTCTGTTAAAGTCTGGTCTTAGCATCTACGGCGATGGAGCTGCTAAGTACACTGTCAACTCGATCTTGTCTTTGAGAAGAGCAGAGCTTGCCTGTGTTTCCTTCCCTCAATTTAAAGATTTAGTTTATTTTTAAAAGTGTGTGTATGTGGGTATATCTGTGCATGGAAGCGGAGGGGCCCCCTGAGAGGTGTTGGCTCCTCTGAAGCCAGAGTTACAGACAGTTGTAAGACTCCCAGCATGGTGCAGCAAACCAAACCCAGGTCCTCTGCAAGAACAGCGCCTGCTCTCAACGGCTGAGCCATCTTTCCCGTCCTCACTCTGTTGATTTAATGTCCGACTCCATAACTGTGACGGTGTTCCCAGGAGCTACCCTCAACAGTCCAATTCCAGATTGCTGGAACCACCTGTTCTCCATTTGACCGGTCCCTCAAAAGTGGGGTCAGGTCCTTTCACAATCCTCTGCCTCCCTAGGCAGGAGAGCATTAGGCAAACTTTGATCCAAATCTTCCCTCTTGATGGTATCTCTGATGATGCTGTCTCCATCATCCTGGTATGGTCTCTCCATCCAGAGGCCTAGCTGACTTGCTAAGACTGTTCCTGCCACACCCTACTGTACTACAGATACTTACTACCTTTAGAACCATGCTTGTTGATGGGGCTCAAATCACCATGTCTTCCTCAGCATGGCCCTCCTTACCTAGTTTCCTTTTTTAAAATTTTATTTAATTTTATTTCATGTGCTTTGGTAGAAGGGTGTCAGATTCCCTGGAACTGGAACTACATACAGTTGTGAACTGTCATAGAGGTGCTGGGAAATGAACCTGAGTCCTCTGGAAGAGTAACTAATGCTCTTAGCCACTGAGCCATCTCTCCAGTCCCCTGCCCTGCTTGCTCAGAACCTTAACCCCCAATGGTTTTACCTTTGAGACAACACGAGTTCTTCCCAAGGGTAATTTCTACTCTTCAGCCCAGGAGACACTGACAATGCTAGTCACATTTCTTGGTTGTCACGACTTGAAGAAGGAATGCTCCTGGCATCTGGCAGGCAGAAGACAAGACTCCTGCTAACCAGGTTGTATGGCTCAAGACAGTCCCAACAATGACCCCATACCCAGCCCAAGGAGATACTGGAGGCCTTTTTCCCTATCTCTGGCAGAAAGAGAAACAGAAGAAAACAAAACACAATCTGTCCCCCCCCACACACACACACAACCCTAGATCCCTTTGCTCACAGTCCCACTTCTGAGCCAGTGTTGGAAGAAACCATCGCTCTCACACTGCATGTGGTCCTTTGCTCACCGGGAAGGATGGGAATAGATTCTTTACTTAAGTAGAAGTACTTAATGTACTTACTCATGTGGGTGGTTCTGAGCCCCGGCTGCAACCAGATCTGTGACATTTACCATTTGAAAAAACACTCAAAATACCAGAAGTCGATTTGGAGGTTCTTTTCAAAGCTAAAAATAAAACTACTGTATAGCCCGGCTCAACCACTCCTTGGTACATACCCGAAAGAGTCAACATACCGCACGGACACATGTACATCTATGTTTATTTCTATTCTTTTTGCAATAGTCAGGAAATTCAACCACCCTAAGTACCCATCAACAGATGAAATGATAAAGAAAATACGGTTTATATTTACAATGGAATTTTATTCAGCCATAAAGAAGAATAAAAATATGTCATTTGTAAGGAACCAGATGAAACGTGTGATCTTGATGCTAAGTGAAATAAATCAGATCTAAAAGGACAAATATTTTTTCCCTCTTATATGAGGACTCTAGACTTGAACACACACACACACACACGACGTGAAAGTAGAAAGGAACCTCCTAGGGAACAAAGAGTGACTGGTGTGAACAGGAAGGATGAGACAAGAAACTTAATTGGGGTCAATAATCAAAGTCTATGGTACACATGTGTGAAAATGGCATAATGAATTCCACAGTTGTATATGTCTAAGAGAGAGAGAGGGAGAGAGAGAGACAGAGAGACAGAAAGAGAGAGAGAGAGAGAGAGAGAGAGAGAGAGAGAAGGAGAAAGAGAAAGAGAGAAAATCTCTTTATAGCCCTAGAAAATACACATATTTAAAACTCAAATTGAATCAGCCTAGGGTGAGGCCCTGGTGGTCTCTATCTTAATCCCCAGAGAAGAGTGGTACAGCCAGAGCTAATAGCCCTGCGGCCTGGCCATCTGCTTAGTGGGGTGTGGAAGGGAGACCTCCACAAAGAACTGACACTGCCCTTCTTAGTCTTTCTACTGTTTGCACATTCTTTAGGACTATCAGCCTTCAGCAGTACTCTCAGTTAACCTTGTAGACTAGATAGGTCATCTAGGAAAGTAGGGCTCGGTGTTTCAGGTCTTCTTATCTTGAACTGCGATTGAGTCTAAGTCAATATTTACCAAAACCAGGACCAGAGAGCAAATAAACAATTCAAGCTATAATCAAGCAATCTATGCTAGCCACTTAATTTAGAAAAAAACAATGCTTCCTTTTGTCCTTTAGAAAGAGAAAAATAATTCCAATTTGAAGCCTTGAGGTGATTTGCAACCTGTGAACACTAATGGGGTAGTATAATAAATCATAACCACCACCTCCATGAAATATGGCCACTCTAATTCTGCATGTTGATCCCCAGTTCTACACAATGGAATCTTTACAAGGCAAAATAAATCTGGCATTGACCTTCCATCATTCCCTGCTTTGATGGACGAAACCGACAGCACGAAATTCCTCTCCACAGCCCAAGAATCTCCTCACCTTTAATATCCTCCCCACAACCCCATCCATCGCCTCCTGTAGCGAAGTAAGCAAGGGACTTAAATCTGAGCAGGCTGGATTCCAGTCTGTGTATAACACTTCCTTAGGAAATGTGTGAGTTCCCTGATTTGTGACATTTTTGCTCCCCTAGGTTGCTTCTCCATCAACAGATTGAAGAAGTCCTTGGGGGAGTGGACGAGTTCTTTCCCATTTAGGAATTAACAAGCAGGTAGATCACCCATCTGACAACCTTTCATAGGATGAACTGCCTGGCTTTGTCTGGCCTGTTGTGTGGGAACATAGCCTAAGCGACACCATTGACAGTCACCGAGCACTCTGCAAGAGAAGATACTGCTACACAGTCATCCAAGAAAATGATGAAAGAATGCTATTGAAAAGATTATCACTTAGTTGGGGATATACAGGGTTACATCAGATAACTCACAAGTGCCAGCTAGCACGTAGTTCCGTCAATGAACATTTTTTGGCCACCTGTCAAATGAGGTGAGCCCCAACGCAATGGGTATCATGAGTAACGTTCTTGGTCCATCACGGGAAAAGCTGGGCTTTCTGTGCATAAACACAGTAAAATGCTACATTTACACTTTCGTTCATGGCATGTTTTAAGGCTGCACTTCGTTTTTAAACGGAGACCCTGAATTTTCTGAGCTCAGGCCTTACAGAACCTGACTTTGGCCATTTTGGGGGGAAAATGGGTTAGAATATGGAAATAAAATGTGATCATGCCTTGACACTCTGAGTTGTGAGTGCTGGGAGCCAAAGTCAGGCATTCCCCAAGAGAAATAAGCACCCTTAACTCCCAAGTCCTCGCTCCTTGCCTAAACGTTACTTCTTAACCAATCCACATACTCCTGAAGCAAAATCTTTGTGAGAAACTGCGTGCAAGAAGCAAAGAAAGCAGAGTTCAGCCGCAAGCACATCCTTACAGAGTGCCCTTCAGGTCACACTGGCTGCTGGATTGACACAGGTTGAAAAGCAGAGAGAAAGAATAAAAATGATACGTTAACTCCTCACAGACGCAGGAGGACCCAGGGTAAAATGGGAGTGTGATGTCCTTGTTCAAATGATGTCAAGAATTTCACGGCGATGACGTGGGATCATAGGAGCCTTTGAAGCACACAGCTCTGACTCTACAGGTCAACCCTACACAGTGTCAGGCCTGAGTAGAGGGACAGGCCTAGAAAGGGTGCTGGTGGTTACTCTCCATGAACTCTATTCCAGACTCTGCAAAACCCATCCACAGGTCAATCTCTGTGAGCAAACTAGTATCAATATTTTTCAGAGAAAAAAAAAATCTCAAGAAGATTAGGCTGTTTGTATAAAATGTACAATAGTAAGTCTGTGTGTGCTGAAATGAAGGAGCAAGGGGAGGGAGTGAGGGAAGAGACAAAAAGAACCAGGAACACCGGCTTCTAGCCTAAGCTCGTTTACTAAGGCCAAAATATCAAAAAGGTCTCATTACTATTATAGTGAACCACAATTGAGGCCATGAATACAAACTGAAAAATACCTTTGTCCTTTGTCATTTCCTTGAACCATTTTAGTTCTGTGCTTCTGAAGGCAGGTCTTTATTGCTTCAAAAGCAGACTCATTTGGAAGCTTGTAGACTCTGTCCTTGTATCTACTGTGTTTGGCACGGAGCTAAATGACTACTCCTCTGTTTGCAATTTATTTATATGAGAAGTGAAATGTCAGGTTCACACTGGGTGAACTACTCTTTATAAACATACAAACAAATGCAAACGTTTGCTGCCAAAGTGTCCAGAAAGACCAAACCAGAGACAAGAAATATCTCAACTCCAACTGCCCAGCTCTTCCACGTGGCCCGTTCAACAGACGGAAGGAAACAAGAGTGGTCAAAACTAAGCCCAAGTGAATACGACTTTGACAGATTTCATAGAAGACACCAAGTGAAGGATATTTCTGATACTATGGACACCAACATTATAAAACTGAGGGGGGAAACGTAGTTCTAACTCTGGAGTGGAATCTTCTAGAATCCTGCCAGGTATCTTTAGCGAGACTTGAACATTGTCATTTTCTCTCGTGCTTGTGGGTTTCTTTGTATCTGTAAAGCATAACCAGGAATTGCCTGAGAGACTAGGGATGTAGCTCCTTTGGAAGAGTGTTAACCCAACCCAGCAGGCACAAAGCCCCAGGTTCCACCCTTAGCAGTCTATAAAGCTGGTGAGGTGGTGGACACCTTTAACCGTGGCACTTGGGAGGTAGAGGCGGGAGTTTGAGGCCACCTTGGTCTATGAGATTCTATCTAAAATAAACCAATCCTTTGATTAAGAAGGAAACTATTTTTAAATTTAACATCGATGTACCTACACTTGATTTGTACATGATCCCCAAATGTCCCAGTTCCCTGAACCTGTATACTGCTCTAATAAAGAGGATAGCAGCGTATCTGTACACTCTGGAGACTTTGAAAGTACTTGTGGATCTGGCATTATTGATGGTCACCAAGGAGACAAGGTCTTAGATCAAGACAAGGAATTGGAGTTGAGCCCGCAGTGCGGCTGTGCCAGCCCAGTGGCCTGGAGCTGGCAGAACAGGTTTGGTACCTATTTGGATCTACCCACATGAAACTGGGAGGAGACTTTATGGGACCTTGTGTCTGGCGTCTTTCCTGAGAAGAGAGAAAATGGAAACTGATATTCTTTCTTTCACTCCTCTCTCTCTATCTCCTTCACTCTCTCCCTCACATATAAATAAATAGCTAAAAACTCTGAGAATTGCCCTGCGATAAGATGCAGTCCCCTGTAAATATAGAAACAGCAAACATGACAAATGCCTGACCCTAAACCCGGGACTGACATTATCGGCACAGCCGCGGCCTTACTCTAAGAGTAAATTTGAGTTAAACCCAGAGAAAGGGAAGGGAAACCTAGGACTTCTTCAGCAAATGTCAGAACATGTAAGTAAAGCACATGTTATTCCAGTAACTCTGGATACCCAGTACAGGTGGGTTCGCTGGCTTAGCTGCAGGGAATGAGTATTTGTTATTGTTACAAAAGATGGGGCCAAAATACCTTTTTCATATCTGTGTCTGCAGACCAGTGCTTCTCAATCTTCCTGGTGCTGCAATCCTTTAATACAGTTCCTCATGTCTCGGTGACCCTCAAACATAATTTTTTTTGCTGCTACTTCATAACTGTAATTTTGCTACTGTTATAGATTGTAATGCAAATACCTGTGTTTGCCTATGGTCTTAGGCAAACACTGTGAAAGGATCAATCAGCCCCAAGGTGGTCACTATCCATAGATTGAGAACTATTGCTGTAGACTATCACTACCAACAATAGGGACATAGATAGCAATGGTATAGTACCCAGGAGACCCGCCTCCTCTGTTTCAGTGGGGAAATCACTCCGAGCTTAAAGCCAGTGGTTTGGTTCAAATATCACCTCTCCCACCCAGCTTGTAATCAAACTATCTTCTGAGCCTCAGTTTTCTCATCTCTAAAGGGAATCTCACTCACTGCAGGCGCTGCTGGCTTCCCCTCAGTGGCAGTACTGTCTTTCTGCCTTCTAACAGTATTGTGACTGTGACCAGTTCAGGGATGTTTCCAGTTGGAGGCACTCATTGCCCAGACTCGCAAGTCATGTGACCTAGTTCCAACAAATGAGCTACAAGCAGGGTCAAGGAGTGGGATCGAACCAGGAGAGACAGAGTCAACTAGAGCGTGCTTCCCTCCTGCCTGGAAGCAGGCAGAGTGCCCGGGCATGCCATACAGCTAAGGCTTGCTCCGTGAGCAGCTGTATACAACGAGTTGCCCATTACTGCCACATCCATTGTTAAATGAGAAAAAGAAGAAACCTATTCAATGAAATCCCACAGGTACAACCAAAGGCAAACCGTCTGAGGGGCTGCCTTATGAAGCTGGGCATGAAGAACTTATGAGATGTGAATTACTAAGTACACAATGTAACCACTATTTATACTAACTTAGCAGCAGCAAAGAACTATTGGAACCGTGCGCTAGCTCCCTGTTACCATGACAAAATACCTGCGGGCATACATCAACTTTGAGGAAGAAAGATTTATTTGGGTTCATACTTTCTGGTGCTTCTGTTTATAGTCACTTGACTCAATAGCTCTGGGCTAGTGATAGGCCATACATCACGGTGGGAGCATGCTGCGGGGAAGACTAGCCACCTTCTGAGACTAGGAGGTAGAGAGAGTGAGAGTAAGGAGTCTGGGACAAGATACACCTTTCAAAAGTAAGCCCTCTTCCAACATCCTCCAATTAGGCTCCACCTCCTGGTCTCTAACACTTCCTAACGGTGCATCAAGCCAAGAGTTCAGTGGTGGACTAGTCCCTGAACCTAGTTATATAGGGGCCTCAACACCTGAACCATTGGAGGCATCTCTAGTTCAGATAATAACATAGAATGGAGCAAAGTGATACTCCCATCCTTACAAGTACAATCCCCTGCTAGGGTGGGGGTGTCTGCTGGGGCGCGACCACTGCGAAGCAGCTGACCTGACCCTCAGGCTGTTGCTCCCTTCCTGCATTTCCCCTCCAAGGCCTCAGGAAGACCTTCCGTGCTCCACTTCCTCAGTGGCAGCAAACATCCTGCCCTTTATCTTGCCTCCTGGATGCCCTCAGCTGAAGCCTCCCTTAACATCATTCCAGAACCCAAACAATTCTGGATCCCATTAGCAATCTAGTCTGGTTTGTTTTTGCTGTAGTTCATGGGGGATGCTAATGAAACCCTTGAAGAAACCAGATACGGCACGTGACTGAGGCTCATGGCCCAGAAACCCATCTAGAAATTAAGTTTACGACTAAGGTTCTCAATAATTTCTACATTCAAGTGTCAAGAGTAGCAGTGTTCCTAGGACCAGGTAGATTCCTCAGATACTCACAGTACTAAAAAACAAGATAGTAGCACACATATATGTATGTATTTGCACATATACATATCTATATACACACACACACACATACACACACACACAGCATTCTGCTTTACATTCTCTTGCCATGATAAACACTATGAGTAAAAGAAATAGTAAAAGAAATTTGAGGAAGAAAGGATTTTCTTGGCTATAGGTTCTGAGAATCCATCAAGGGGCGTCAAGGCAGGAACCTGGAAGCAGGAACTGAAGTAGGTGACATGGAGGAACACTGCTTACTGATTTGTTCTTATGGCTTGCTCTGACTGCTTTTTGGAACTTACCAACAGACAGTAGATGAAATGAGGCTTGAAGCAAGACTAAGACCAATAGCAAGGTGCAAGAAGGAACAGATTAAAAATGGACAAAGGAAAACTAAGAGTATGAAGCTTGTATACTCATTAGGTTGTTGTTTGATGATTCCACATGTGTATGTGTATATATGTGGGTTGGAGACTCGGCTCAGTGGATAAGAGCACTGCCTGCTCTTCCAAAGGTCCTGAGTTCAATTCTCAGCAGCCATACGGTGACTCACAACCATCTGTAATGAGATCTGATGACCTCTTGAGGAAAAGACCAGGTCAGTTGTCCTCATCAGCATAGACTGTGAAACCCAATATGGACAAGTTCAAGAGAACCGCCATATATGGGCTGCCTATGCATGCTGAGGCATTGCCAGAGCATAAATTACATTCAGTTTCATGTGTATATATGTGCTAGTTAGTATATGTGCAAGGCAGGACACAGTAATGGTACTACCCACAGTGGCCTAGATACTCCCCATAGCAACTATCAATCAAGAAAATGTTCCACAATCCTGCCTATAGGCCAATCTTATGAAGATAACTTCTAAATTTAGGTTCCCTATGCCCAGATTACTCTAGCTTGTTTCAAGATGACAAAAAAAAATATTTCTCATGTGTGTGTGTGTCTATAATTTTCTTGTCAACTCAATTTAGTGATGAATTCATGTCTGTATCAGTAATCCATTTCTTGTTGCTAGGTAGGATTCTACTGAACGCATAGACCATGAGTTATTTTTACCCTCTATGGAATAGCCATACTATATTATAAAATTGTGGTACCACTTTATTCCTAGGAACTCTGTATAAGAGTTCTAGGTCTTCCTATTTATTTTGAGCTTTCTAGTTGGTTCCAGTTACCTGCTTCTCTATCTGTATGCCAATACACATGCTGTATCACTGTAGGTTTATACTAAATCTTCAAATCAGTTGCCATATCCCCCATATTTTCAGTTATTTTGATTTTGAATTTCATTTGTTCTTTCTCTGCTTTCTCAAGGTAGAAGTTGAGATATTGAATTAATTACTTGATCACTGTAAAGCCTGCCTCGAAACACCCTTCCCCTCTGATCAGTTCAGTTAACATTTCTAGTCATCCCATAATCCCCTTCTCTTGGCATTCATTTTTCAGACAGGGTCTCGCTCTGTATTCCAGCCTAGCCTGGAACTCACTTTATAGCCCAGGTTGCTCTCCTGCCCCAACCTCCCAAGTCCTGACATTAAAGGAGTAAGCAATCATGCCCAGTTTCAACATATACATGTTCTAATACTTTTGATTTTCTCTTTGACTCGTGTGTCTTAGCTAATTTCATAAATTCTTACATGTGTTACAGAATCTGCAATATTTGGGGGATTTTACAATTGTATTCTATCACTGACCTGTGGTAATTATGATCGTGAGATACGCAGTTTATACAATCTTGTTTTATGACTGACTTGAGTAAATGCCCTGTTTGCACTTAAAAAAAACACATTCTGCTGGTAAACAAAGTACTCTATAAATGTCTCTGAGGTCAACCTGGTTGGTTCACTCTTTAAATTTTCTCAGACTACTGACTGTATCAATTATTGAGTCAAGAATACGGAACTCTCTCTGGTTAATTGTGACTTTATCTGGTTGTTTTTTTTTTTTTTGATTTTTTAATCTTTTGCTTTATGTGTTTCCCAACTTTCTAGCAGGTGTGTAAGAGTTCAGATTATTATGTCTTCCTGGTGAGTTGTCCCACTTGTCATTCCGAAACCTTTTTGTCTGAGATCATATTTTTACCCTAAGTCTACTTTGTCTGATATTAATATATACACACTATTTTTTTGCATTTAGTATACCTTTTTCAATTCTTTGTGCTCCTAATTATGTTGTAAGAGAAATGTAGTTGAATCTGACCTTTCTTAAAGATTTGAAAATCTTTTTGACCTTTTCTCCCCGTGCTCTCCCTCCCCCTTCCTCCTCCACCCCTTTCTGGTGCCCGTGTGTGCCCATGTGCATGTGTGTATGTCCATGTGTGTGTGTGTGTGTGTGTTTTCATTTCACGTCAGCCTATATAAATGCCAAAGGTCGATGCTGACATTAGAATGCCTTCCTCAATTGTTTCTCTACCCTTTCAATGTTTTGAACTGAGTCTGTCACTGAGCCTGAAGTTCCCCCAGATAAACTGGC